TCAGATATCTGTCAAATATCCTGTCACTGAACACATCTCAGACTGTAAAGTCTGAGATATCTGACATTCATCTTGTCATTGAACACATCTGAAACGTGTAGTTTCTGATATCTGATATTCATCCTGTCATTGAACACATCTCAGAATGTAGAGTTTCAGATATCTGACATTTATCCCGTCACTCAACACATCTCAGACGTGTAGAGTTTCTGATATCTGATATTCATCCTGTCACTGAACACATCTCAGACTGTAAAGTCTGAGATATCTGACATTCATCATGTCATTGAACACATCTCAGACATGTAGAGTTTCAGATATCTGACAAATATTCTGTCATTGAACACATCTCAGACTGTAGTTTCAGATATCTGATATTCATCCTGTCATTGAACACATCTCAGACTGTAAAGTCTGAGATATCTGACATTCATCCTGTCATTGAACACATATCAGACTATAGAGTTTCAGATATCTGACATTCATCCTGTCATTGAACACATCTCAGACGTGTAAAGTTTCAGATATCTGACATTTATATTGTCACTGAACACATCTTACACTGTAGAATTTTAGATAAATGACATTCATCCTGTCATTGAACACATCTTAGACTGTAGATATGTCACTCACTCAATGATGCCCAGTTGTCCTAACTGTGCAGCATACAGGGAACATTACGTATTACTGGGCATTTTGAATTGGTTATGCAGAAATTCCCAAGCATTTTTTGTGGTTATAAGCCATACGCTCACGTATCATGTAGACTACAGCACTGCGTAAGTGAAATGGCCCTTAAGTCTGGCAGCAGGTGTCAAATAGGTGAACTGGTCCTTTAGGTCTGACCTGGCCGCACGTGTTAAATAAGTGGAAAACACCCTTCAGGTCTTACCTATCAGTTTTGTGTTGTGCGTTTCCTTGACTGATGAAGCCTTCTGGATGGAAGGTGAAATGTTTCAGCACAAAAACAAAAGAAACTGTCCAGATGACCTGACTGAAAATTGTTGGACCCTTTAAGTCTGGCTCTGCAGCACATGCTAAATAAGTTGAAAAGGACCTTTAAGTCTAGCCAGCAGGTGGTAAATAGGTGAACTGGCCCTTTATGCCATGTGGGAGAAGGTACGCAGCATCCGGACCAACACAACCAGACTGTGTAACACCTTCATCAGACTCCACAACTCAGGTTGTTTTCACACCTGGTTGTTGACACACACACATGGACTCTGACACACACATGGACTCTGACACACACACATGGACTCTGACACACACATGGACTCTGACACACACACATGGACTCTGACACACACACACGGACTCTGACACACACACATGGACTCTGACATACATGAATGGACTCTGACACGCACACGGACTCTGACACACACACATGGACTCTGACACACACACACGGACTCTGACACACACACATGGACTCTGACATACATGAATGGACTCTGACACGCACACACGGACTCTGACATACATGAATGGACTCTGACACAC